CATGTGTGGAGTCCATGACGGCGGTCACAAACTTGTCGCACCGGCTGCAGAGTAGGACAAATGAGGCTTCAGGATCGATTCTCTGCTGAAATGGAAGATTCGTTCCCTCAACGGCTCGTCGCCGGAAAAAGTCGCCGACGGTCCGCCCTCCGGGAACCGGAGAACCGCCGGAGAATCGAAGACGGTGTTCCGGCAAAAGTCCGGCGACTTGGAGATGTTCTTGGCTCCTCTGCAGATCTCGGCGAAGGTGTTGAAGAAGTTCCAGAACGACGTGCCGTCCGTGACGGCGTGATTGACGGTGCATCCGACGAAGATTCCGTCGCCGAGCTCCGTCACCTGTGTTGGAAAAACAGTATATAAAAATTGACAGAAAGAAAACGAAACAGAAAAACCAGACTGATTTGGAAAACAGTTTCTGTGCACAACAAAATCTAAATAAACCCAATTAAATTTTCACATCAAATAAAATTAATTCTAAACTTAGTTACCAATATTCAAACAAAATTTTTTTTTTTTTTTTTTTTTTTTTTGAGCATGGTGATGATGAATAGATAATGATGTATAAAAAATAAGAAAGGTGGGAGTGGGGAACAGGACGAATCAAGAGAGCGTGATTAGAAAAAAGAAAGTGATAATAAAAAAAGGAAAAGAAAGTGGAAAGATAAGAGAGGTTGGTTCCCACTGTATCAGTGATGTGGGTGTGTATGTGCTAGTCAAGAGAAAGAGAAAGGTGGGTTTCCCTTTACAGAGAGAGCGAGAAGGGGAGTAGGGCCAAGAGAGCGTCCCTGTCCGCCATCAGAAAGAGAAAGAGAAAGGTTGGTTCCCCACCATGTTATCAAGGAGGTTGCTATCCTCTCTCCTCCGATCGTCGGTCCATCGGGAGGGAGAGAGAGAGAGCACAAGATGTCGAAGCGAGGTCACGGTGGTTTCGGCGGGGAACAAATTCAGGATGTCGTTGGGTCTTCCGGTGGCGGCGACGGTAAACTGTGCAGACAACACTGGGGCGAAGAATCTGTACATCGTATCAGTGAAGTGTATCAAGGAGAGGCTGAATCGGTTGCCTTCGGCCTGCGTTGGAGACAGGGTGATGGCCACCGTGAAGAAGGGAAAGCCAGATCTCAGGAAGAAGGTCATGCCCGCGGCCCCAGCGGAAAGATCACCGACGAGTTCACCGGTGCTGGCTCCATCGGGAAGGTCTGCCAGGTCATCGGAGCCGTCGTCGATGTGAGATATGACGAGGGGTTGCCGCCGATCCTGACGGTTCTTATTATGGAACTTATTAACGATGTTGCCAAAGCTCACGGTGGTTTCTCTGTGTTTGCTGGTGTCGGTGAGCGCACTCGAGAGGGAAGGTGGTGATTTTACAGAGTGAGGTTGTAGAGACCAAGGTGAAAGGAGAGGAGGTATGTGTTGGAGGTTTCAATTGGCACGGTTGGGGTCCGGCGGGCGGTGAAGGTAAGGTTGCCGCCCGCCGGAAGGTGAAGATCACCAAGGGCTAACCTATGGCTCTGATACCATATAAAATATTAATATATTATTGATTGATTGATAGATGTTGTTATCTATATTGTGTATATTACAAGGATTTATATAGGAGAGGATTTGGGAGTAGGTGAAGGTGGTAGTGGAGGTGGTAGGTGGAGTGGGTGGTAGTGGAGGTGGTAGGTGGGTGGTAGTTTACATTTTACAATTTACATTTTACATTAACATCTCATGTTTATAATTTTAGAGATAGGCATGGCCTAGAAATGACGGGCACATAGTAAAATGAGTGTCGGACATGTATCCGAGAGTGTTCGAGTAAGAAGCACACACACTTCTAAGAAGATGACGTATCTGTATCGTCGTGTCGGACACTGACACTCTTTTACACTTCCCCGACATGTGTCTGACACTGTTCAAAATGTGTCCTATTTTTTAATTTTTTTTAAAGACCCCGAACACTCTTTAGACACTTGGAGGCACATGTGTCTATCGCTTAAACACACGTGTCTCTTGATTAGACATATGAAATTAATTATAAATTCGAATAAAACAACTTAAGATACAATAATAAAACAAAAACCATATAAATTTATAGGAATTAGTGTCATATTTTATTTTTTATTATCTTTGAATGATATATTAATATATATAACATATAATAATTATATAAAATTATATATTTCATGTGTGTCTCCTACCTGTCGTGTCCTGCATTTTTTGAAAATTGGCGTATCGCCATGTTCGTGTCGTATACGTGTCGTGTCGCGTGTCCATGTCCATTCTTCTTAGGTGTCTGATGAGTGTCAGACACATTGCCTTCTTAGAAGTGTCTGTGCTTCTTAGGTAACTTTCAATTTCTTATTTTGATCATCTAAAAAAATTTTGTTTCAAACCCAAAGAACCTCTATTTTGGATGGGAAAAATTCAAGGTTGCAGACGAAAACCCTCTTCGATTCAAACTTTGAGGCTTTGAAGATCAAACACGAACCCTTGGACTCTCTGAGGTCCTCCTCTAGTGATGGCTTCACCTCACAACTCACAGTTCACAACTCAACCCAACTTTAGGTAAAAATAATTTTAGAATCTTTCTATATATATATATATATATATTGGTTACAGAGTAAAAATGGTTTGTGGGCTGTATTTTTAAAAATAAATAATATATTGTTTTGTTTAATGGGCTGAATAAGTACTTTTTATGTAAAAATGCATTGTTTGGGCCATTTTTGAAAAACAAGATAATAATGTAGGTATGTTTAAATGTAAAATGAGCTAAATAAAATATACATCGGAAAGCCCCAAATGGTATGGCTCAATCCATCTCACCCATCTGAACCCAACCAGTTAATTGAAAACCATGACCTGACGATTTCAACATATGAATCGGTCAACAAGGTTGGTATGACCACCTACCTGAACATTTTCAGTTCAGCAGTGGATACAGCTCTAATCCGAGCCAAACTGCCCATGAACAACCCTAATAAAAACAGTACACGGTTTCTCTTTAGCTTGGAAAATTGAAAAGGCTACCGTGTCACACCATTTTTCCTTCTCATCAATGAGACAGTGGCTTTGTTGGAGCTAACAATTTGGTTGGTGAAATCAGTGTTTTAAAAGGCTCTAGGCATATTGAGGCGATAAGGTCCCCTATAGTCTAAGCACGAGACGCAAGGCAAAGCGCCCGCCTCACCAAAGCGAAACTCAAATAGTAGAAAAAAAGAAAAATTTTAAAATAGGCAAATTTTTCAACATAATAAATATATATATATAATATTTAAAAAATCATAACCATTTTCGATAATCTCTAAACATAACATTCAATCTTCTAAAAGTTAGAAATATAATATCCAACAAAAAAAATAAAACATAACATTCAATCTTTTATCACTTTCTGCTCTCTTTTGACTACATTTGGTCATTTTATATTGAAGAGTTTTGAATCCTTGTGGGAATGTCCACAAAAAAAAAAACGCTTAATTAACAATTGGAGTAGAAAAATAGGTAAAACCCATGAAGCCCACGAAGCCCACGCCTCGCGCCTCGAAAAAAGCCCTCGCCTCAGTGCCTAAGCTGCACCTTGCGTATTGCGCCTTGCCTCGACCTGTTCGAAGCGCAAGGCTGCGCCTCATTGCACCTCTTGCTTAGGCCTAAGCACGCCTTTTAAAACACTGGGTGAAATGAAAAGGCTTTACTTGTACTAAGCACCAGTTGTCCTTAGGAAATGATACGTGCATACCTTATTTATTGTATCTTCTCATATTGGTTCTTGATATATAATAAGGTATGAGAGGTGATGTGTATGTGAGTGTCTGTGTGTATGGGTGATAACTGAAGAAGTGACACACAGTGGGTCTTGCACAGGTAGACACAAACCATGAGTATTTTGTGTGTGATAACAGTGTATTCTTTGTAGAATGTGAGGTTGAAAGTAGTGATGGGGGTTGTGGAGAAAATACCAAGGTTCGTATTTGTATCACTATTGTAATTTTTACCCCTAATGGATTGCTCTCACTCGCCCGTGAACATAGACATTTTTGCCAAACCATGTAAATTTCTTTGTTCTCTTCTGTGACTATTTTATTTTATTTTTGCTTCCATTGCTTGGATGGGTTTATTCCCAACCCAATCTTCTAAACAATAGTTCAAAAAATTACACCCATGCCCATCCCATCCTAATCTATTAAATTAATGAAATTGAACCTTCAATAGTTTACATACAATGCAGTAACAGAATGGGGAGGTTCTTTTCAATATGATGTTGACAAAATAAGCTTCAGTTGTATCATAATCCAAAATGCTAATGCCAACAGAGGAAAGTTCCATGGCTACATATAATGCCTTAAGGAATGCTATTCACATATAATGAGCCTGCAAATCTAAGGGTCAACAATCAAAACTTACTTTCCAATTTGTTGATATCCCTCTCATCTAAATATCTCGGAACAAACCTAGAATATGTCTTAACAAAACATTAAATAATTCAATCACTGAAAGGAATTATAAAGTGTACATCGTTGGTCAGATCTAATCTAAAGAACAACTACCATACCACAGAGAACTTAACCTAAATAATTCTAGACACTGAGAAAAAGCATGCATCACCTGAAATACATTCCACATGCTACTTTCTATTTATGAATTACAATACTAAATCAAGATCAGGAGATTTGCACTTCTAAAGACAACAACAACTTGGAAAAAAATAACTAGACTTGATAAGAATTAGTAATCAGAAAATACATATTTATATTCAAAAAAGTTGTCATGATCCCACACTAAGTCTCTCAATCCATCTCATTTTCAAGAGCTCTGTATTTCATTATTGTTATTATTTATTATATATTGACCACAATAAGGATGAAACCTCAAAGTTTCCTCCTTTTTAAATGACATGACAAAAAAAATTTACCACTACAATAAAAAGAAATGGGTATTTTAAAAGCATTATGTAACATACAGTGCAGTTAATCAGCAGGGAATTTTTTAAAACTAGTAGACAGCAGAAGAAAGCAAAC